TTTCTTCTGGGTTGTACCATACAAATATTGGTACGGTTGAATCACATGCCATAGTAGACAAAAAGGTTTACTGGTTCTAATGATTTTTATTATTTGGCATGACCGATTGGGCCATCCCGGTTATAATATGATGCGCAAAATAATTGAAAATTCACATGGGCATAGTTTGAAGAACCAAAATGTTCTTCAATCAAAGGAATTCTCTTGTGTTGCTTGTTCACAAGGAAAGTTGGTTATCAAACCATCAACGACTAAGGTTAGAGTGGAATCTCCCGCATTTCTGGAACTGATACAAGGTGATATATGTGGGCCTATTCACCCTGCATGTGGACCATTTAAATATTATATGGTTTTGATAGATGCATCTACAAGATGGTCTCATGTGTGCTTAGTATCAACTCGCAATATGGCTTTTGCGAGGTTGTTGGCTCAAATAATAAGGTTAAAATCACAATTTCCAGATTATGCAACAAAAACAATTCGTCTTGATAATGCTGGTGAGTTTACATCTCAGGCATTTAATGATTATTGTTTGTCCACTGGAATAACAGTTGACATCCTGTTTCACATGTTCATACTCAAAATGGTTTAGCAAAGTCATTGATTAAACGTCTTCACTTGATAGCTAGACCATTGCTTATGAGAACAAAGTTGCCTGTTTCGATTTGGGGGCATGCTATTTTGAATGCAGCGGCACTTGTGCACATAAGGCCAACCAGTTATTATGACATCTCCCCATTACAATTGGTTTTTGGTCAGGAGCCAAACATTTCCCATCTTAGAATCTTTGGTTATGCAGTATATGTTCCAATTGTTCCACCACAACGCACAAAGATGGGTCCCAAAAGAAGGTTGGGAATATATGTTAGGTATGAATCTCGTTCTATTATAAAATATTTGGAACCTAGAACTGGAGATTTATTTACGGCAAGGTTTGCTGATTGTCATTTTGATGAATCAGTATACCCAACATTAAGGGAAAAACAAAAGCAGTTGGGAAATGAGATAGATTGGAATTCACTTTCACTGTCTCATTTAGATCCTCGAACAAATCAATGTGAGCAAGAAGTTCAAAAGATAATTTATTTGCAGAATATTGCAAATCAACTGCCGGATGCATTTACTAACCTTCCACGGGTTACTAAATCATATATCCCAGTTGCTAATGCTCAAGTTCGAGTTGATGTCCCGGTAGGACAAAATGTTAAGGCAAATGAGTCTGGACCACACTTAAAACGTGGTAGACCAATTGGTTCCAAGGATAAAAATCCTCGGAAAAGGAAAGAAATAAAAGATCAAGATGATCATAATATAGAGGCAATTGCTCATGAAGAGCTCCGAGACATAATAAATGAAGACACCACAGAGGAGGTCCTTGTACCTGAAAATAATGAGAATGAAGAAAATCTACTATAAATTATGTCTCGACGAGAAAAAGGTGGAATCGAAATAATATTGTGGTGGATAATATTTTTGCCTATAATGTTGCAGTTGAAATAATGCAACAAGATGAGGATTTAGAACCACGATATGTCAAATGAATGTAGACAGAGAAATGATTGGTCAAAATGGAAGGAAGCAATTCAAACAGAATTGGCTTCACTTGAAAAACGTGAAGGTTTTGGACCAATAGTTCGAACCCCTGAAGGTGTCAAGCCAGTTGGGTACAAATGGGTTTTTGTGCGAAAAAGTAATGAAAATGGTAAAGTCTTAAGATATAAAGCACGACTTATGGCACAAGGATTTTCGCAAAGGCCTAACATTGATTATGAGGAGACATATTCTCCTATGGTAGATGCAATTACCTTCAGGTATCTAATAAATATAACAGTTCATGAAAAGCTTGAAATGCATCTAATGGACGTTGTCACA